TGCCGTCATAGGAAGATCAATCCACCGAGACGGCATCAGTTTGCACGGTGGATATTTCTTCCAATGATGAGTATGATCTTTGCTTCGCAAAGGTTACTAAGCAATTAATGTGTTGTGTACGTTTTGTGCACTTTCACTGTCGCGCTAAAGGGAGAAAGTTGAATTCTCTAGCAAGGGAATTTCGTCGCCATATCAGGTCTGCAATTTTAGTTTCAGTAGATGTTGTGAATAGTTTCAAATGAACTTTGTTTTTCCGGGAAAAGTCCTGTCCTTTATCTAATAAAATAAAACGAATTCCTCATCATTTATCATCTCTGCGTACAGCTTACAATTTTTCATGTTAGTGATGGCATTGAAGAGGCATTGTGAACGGTATTGCAGCGGTATTCATGAAATGAGCTTCACGATCCCATTTAGGAATTTGAATTGTAGAAGTGATTGAGGAGGGATATCATCCCAAGGAGCTTCTTGTGGCATAATATACCTAAAGAATATTTCACCAAACATAAAAGGGCGACTAAAAGGGTTTCTTCGTTTCTTAAAAGAGGTACCGACGACGCGCCACCAGCACAAGGGAGGTGGCAAATGCGATCATGCGACCCTCCACAAATGCTTAGGGTGGACGCACCTCCGTGGAGCCATTTCCTACCAAGGCATATCCCACAAAGGTTCTGTCCCAGTCCACCAAGTAAATACAGAACACAGACTTACTCCAGCAGCTAAAGTTCATACACACTAACGTTCTAGTAATGTTATTATGTACATGGCTTCTCAGTTATCTCTCAATAAAGTGCAAATGCCAGTCTAAATTGAAATAGAGTTTAAGTTGTTTTTGTTCGCTACTACTGGCTTCTCCTACGTGCTACGTGACGTTACACTGGTTGTCATGTTTCGATGGTGGCTTATATCAGGAAACAATGGAGTCAGCTCCTTCCCCCTGATTGTACTTAAAATTATGCTCCTGATTCTGTATTATGCTGCATTTAGTGGCTCAGTTTAAGAGTGTTTCAGAACCCTTCCACCCCTTCCCCCTCTCCTTCCTCCCTACCACCAACAGGTAAAAATTACAAGCGATAAAAGGTTTGTTGCACTTAAAAACGAAACCTTTTCCTGAATTCAATCATCAGGCTACGCATAACCAGGCCCTAATAGATTGTGGTAGTAAAAGTAGTGTATTATGGTACTAGCATTGCCCGATTTTTTCCAAATCATGCTTAAAATCATGCTCGGTTTTGAAAATTATGCTAGGTTTTGTAAATTATGCTTTTCAAGTATGAAACACAAAACATTTCAAAACTATAATTTTTTTTGCCTGTGGGAGTGGGAGCATGGACCGATCCAATCTTTACTTCTGGGGTGTGCCCAGTCCTCTAGACGACGACCA